AATGCAGGGAGTGCAGGGTCGGACCAAATGCCCCCAACAACGCACTCCGACACACAACAAGGGGAGGAAGATGAGGAGGAGGAGGCAGATTTAGGATGAGAACAGTCAGCAGATAGATTAGGAAGAAATGAACAAAAAAGTAAAGGAGTAAAGGAGAAAAAATAATGATTTTGGGAAGAAAAGAGAGAGTGAAGCTAAAGAAGGACGAATAAAAAGAAAAAAAAGTACCAGGTCCATGATATTAAGGTAAAATTAAATAAAAAATGCAGAATAATGCAGACTTGTTTCTTGACAGCTCGTGTTTGCAGGGAGTACATCAGCGTAAGAAAAGTTCAGCAGTTATAAAAAAAGCACATGTTTTATGATTTCTAAGTGGATTTATGGAGCTTATCCAAGATAATCACTGACTCAGAAAGTGCACACTAAATGTCAAAACGTGTTTCATAAATCTACATTCAGTTTTGACTCAGACGTTTGATGCAACTTAATGCCAAATGTTGTCTTCCTTCATGTTCACACTGGAGAATTTAGGAAATTTGCATCTGATTTTAAGTACAAATTCAAGAAATAAACTTTAGGAGTCTGAGTAATTCCTTCTTGAACTTTCCTTTTTAAAATGACATAATAAAACCTCATAATAAGGGGTTATAAATTTAGATATTTTCTTGGAAAAAATACTTTCATTCAAATTAAGCTATAAATGTATTCTTCATCGTTTGCTAAGAGTTTGTGGAGGTGTCAGTGTGAACTAGTGTTCAATATATAATAGTCTAACTGGAAAATTAGGACTTTATTTATAAAAAAGATGCAATAAAAAGAGGCTCAGTGCGGTTTTTACAAACTACAGACAACATTTGAATTTATTTCTTTTTTAAGACCATAAAAACCACTGAAATGGGCCAGGTTTTCATGGAAAGATAAAAATTACGCACCGGGTAAAAGATTTTCATGTGTCTGAAACGACTCATATCAAGCACCTATTATGCATTTTCAGTAAAAAGAGGGGAAAATGCAAGATAAAAGCTCTACAAATATATTGTCACCTATTGACGCAGGACTCCCCCTTTTCACTTCAGTGAGCATTGATGGTTTTCCAACATAGTCATTGTGTGCGACACTGGTGGATCAGTGTTATTCAGGAAAGAAACACGAACCAGCTTTGGCAAGTGCAGAGTAACATAATGGTTAATGTGGTTTCTGGTCTGTTATTTTCACTCCTACTATCCCTCTCACAAACAAAGGKGACAGATGAGAACCATGGTTGGGGCAGCTCTCCTTGAGCTGCTCCATGGAAAGAAGTTGGGTATTTTGATCATTTATGTGAACTGGAAACATGAGCTAACTGGTAAATGTCATGAAGAAGCTCTGAGACTTTACCACATTCTGTAACGCAGTTTTAGCCCACATCATTCTGTCACCTCACTGATACAAATATCTACGTTTTTGTATAACTCAGTGGTTCCCAACCTTTTTAGGCTTGTGTACCCTCCAGAGCCAGTTTTTCATACCACCAGTACYGCCCTCTGTCAAACRTAATGATGATTCTCCAAAACKCTAATGTACAACAGCTGATTATTAAATGAAAATTATTTATTTAACCCCTTAGAACGTTTAGTTGTCAGGAATGTTAATCTTTTCAACTCAAATTAAACAAAAAGATAAATATGTTGCCTTGAAAGTGAAGAAGTAATTAAATAAATAAACCAGGTGGTGGCAGGTGCAGGAAGCAGCAGCATCCAAAATACATCAAATACCCAAAATGAGTAAATTCCACGAGATTCTACATTTTTTACAGGATTGCATTTTGTGTCAATTTCGTGATTCCGTTTCTATTTTCCGCATTGTGGAAATAGGGCCCTACATATCTCAGTCCTATTTTTATACATTTTTTTACACACCTGGGAAATCTTTCCACGTACCCCCTGTAATATGCTTGCGTACCCCTGGTTGGGAATCACTGCTCTAACTAATGTTCCAATAGCAGCTGTTATCATTCTGATAAGCACTGTTTTCTCAAGTTCTATAAATATTACTCATTTATTTTCTCCCTGTCCCTTTTAAAGTTAACTCAGATTTATTAGTTAGCTTCGGTATGATAAATACCCAAATTACTATTGTGGTATTCCCAGTTTTCATTCATTTCTTCCCAGAAATAAATAAATTAATTAAAAAAAACTTTTTCGTTGTGTTAAACTGCATGAAGCTGATTACTTGATGACAGGGTGGCACCTGCTTTGTAACATGTTATATTAGCAATAAGCTGTACATGAAAGAAAAAAAAACTCTAATGTGTTGCAGTGTAATTTGATCCTGTTTGATGCAGAGTATGTGCTGGGAAATTACTTTCAGGTACGCTGCACTCACAGGTGATTCAGTTAAACATATGTTAAAGAAGACACTCAATTTAATGATTAACAAAATTTGAACACTTGGGATTTGAGCACTTCATCATTTATCTATTTACAGCTTGTGAAAGATTAAGTGCTTCTCTTGTGGTTTTATGTGGTCAAACCAACGTTAATGAGCACGCTAAAAAGGGCTTTTTTCTTATTTTATCGCACTGCTAAAGAGTTTACAAAAAGCAGAACAAAAGGTTTTATTTTCTCTTTTTTTAATTACGGGGCATGTCAATATGAACATGGACACTGGCCCCGACCGCTTTTGCATTGTAATAGCTAGCATAACAATCCCTGGGATCTTTTTAAAATATAGTTTAGTGACATAAAGTTTGTGATCATGTTACCAAAGTCCTAAATGTCCAAGAAAGAGACAAAGAATTAATCAATCAGAGACTTGTTTAGGCACTTTGATAAATGCGTTGTCAGACACCGGTATTTTATCTAGTTTGATTTCTGCTTTGGTTTGAAAAAAAAATTGTGAAATTGTAACATGACTACGTCTACGAGGCTCTGCGATTGTTTTTTTTTTTTTTTTATGGTGCAGTGGAAGTAAATGCAGACCTGCTGCCTAATTTTCAACCTTTGATGACCTCTAAATCCTTAAAAAAACTTACTAATGAAAAAAAGGAAAAATAGCTCTAAACTAAATTTGAAAATTTTCTCAAAGTCCCTAAAATGTTTTCAAATGGATTCCAAAAACAAACATAGAATTTGCATTTTTTTTGTGATGTAATAAACAAATAATAAAAAAATGATGCAGAACAATCAGTAGCAGATGTTTACAACATGACTTATGAAAAAGCTGCTGAAATGAACTTTATGCCTTTCAGAAGATCCCAAATGTATGAGAGGCCCTTTAGGCCATAATTCAAACTTACTCTCACATGTACTATCAAACTCTCTCACACATACTATCAAACTCTCTCACACATACTATCAAACTGTCTCACGTTTACTATCAAACTCTCTCACATTTACTATCAAACTCTCTCACATTTACTATCAAACTGTCTCACATTTACTATCAAACTCTCTCACACAGACTATCAAACTCTCTCACACATACTA